GTTATCACAGATTCCTTTTGAAGCTGCACCACACAACGGTCACATGCCGTGCGTCTGCAGCCAACAACTTTAAAAATAATCGATTTCGTTTAATGTATTTCCCGTTAATTTTTAAACAATTTACTCTTAGATATAAATCTTGTTTGAACTCTTCCATAGATGGAGTCACGTTTTGGCTAAGCTAAGCAAATAACTTGTTCCATTTTTACACATTTCAAACAATCGAAATCACTTCTTCACCAAAAATCATGTTGGGATTTCAAAGCTGATATGGATACTGAACACGTGCTTCTGAGAATCTTGAGCAGCAGGGGAGTAACTTGTTGCAGGCTAGAACCAATTCTAAATGAAGAATCCGTAAGATGGTAAATGCTTCTTGTCTAGCTTAAAGTTATCGCAGGAGGTTTTGAAATGAAATTCAGCAGTGAAATACATGAAAAAAATGAACTGTTTCAGAAGTTTAAATTTCAGATTAATTGAAGCAGGCTGCAGCATGGTTTACTTAAATTCCTGACTACTGTAGTGTTTGTATTGCATTTAAGTTACTTTCTTTTAAAGATGCTCTTTGTATTTTAAAGAATATCCGTCACGACTAACCTTCTCAATGCCTACAAATTGCGGATTGCGTTAATGGACATTTGTGTAAAATTATGTTAAGGACATAGGTTGTCTTCTTCCTACATGAATTTCGGTCTTAGTTTTACACCTGGCAAGTGGGAAATAAAAAGAGGACACCTATAAGGTGGATAAGATCCTTCTGTCAGTATTGCCTTTTTTCGAAACTGAATCTGACTGTGTAGATCAAAGAGCATTAACATGTGGTTACACAATACGACATGAAGCATGCGCAGAAGAAAAAGCGATACGAGTCTTTAAACTGCACTAACGGAATTAGCATTAATAATATAAAATTGCCAAATGCAACAACAATATAAGTAACCCCCCACTTTAGAGTCGTGATCATGACTCGGTACTTCATTTTTGGGCTTCGACATTAGTATGGATTAACTACGAATAGCTTCGTTTATAGTTGCAAAGTTTTAAAGCGACGAATTCGATTGGGCAAAAACCATGGATGTAGAAAATGTGAAAGATATTTGTCACAATATATATTCCTATAAGTACCCTTTAAGGAACTGTAAAATAAACGCACCACCAAATGTTGGCAATTATATAGTTAACTTAGACATCAAATTCAGTATGCTAGCATTTATTATCAAGTCCTAAATAGTAATGTGTCTAGTTATGAGAACACCTCATTAGGTGGATTTCAGGTCATGCGTTAATTAGTAGGACAAATCTTATCTATTCATTTTAATACCCTCGGTAAGTCGGCGGTATAGGTGCCAGTTGCCAGAATGCATCTTTTGGTGGGCACCAGGCTGGGTTGAAAGCACACGTAGAGTTATGCTAATAAAGACTTCGTACGATCAGAGGCATGTGATTACATATTTAATATTTATTTAGCCACTTAACTTTAAATCAGTCTCACTAATTAGTTTTAGTTAGCAAAGTTGGACCGCTTAATTTAATCAAAATTATATTTCATGCAAATTTTGGAAAATGATGTTTTGTAACGACAAAAAACAACTTTTTCTGCGATTATAGTCCGAATATGCATTTTGTTGAAACTGGCATTTTATTGGCTCGTGTAGTTGTTACCCATTAGATTCATCTAAAATCACTTTTGTATCCTTCTTTTAGCAATTCCTAGGGGACAGCGAAACTGGTGAGTATTTACTTAATATCGAGCTGTTTTCAAGGATCCGCCTTACAGTATTTTTGCAAAGCAAAAAGTAAAAGTATTTAGCATGAATAATAACAATTTGCCATTTTCATTGAACCTGAAATTTCAAGAGTCACAAAGTGGTGATTGCACAGTGCTTAAGTATCTATTGCTGCGGATGTTTCAATAGCCAACAAAATCTGAAATTCTGTATTCCTACAGTCTGACATTCAATGCAAACTTAGGTGTTTGTTGCCCTTTGATTCGTTGGAGTCCACGCAAAAAGTACAGCAAAGTGATAAATCATGGTGTTTCTGGTCTGCAGGTGATCTTGATAGCACAAATTAAAGTGCTTGCACTCAAACTCAACTCTAGCCACCATAAGTTCCTTGGGAAAGGCTTCGATTTGTTTTAAGTTAAGTCGACCGTGAACAAAAGTTTTATGGGGCAATTCGGCGTCCACACGTTAACGTACCACATTTCCCTAAAAGGCGTCGTTGATGCACATCAATGGGGCTGTAAATAAATTCCTGAAATGCGACGTAATTAGGTCCCACTTTTGATTCAATAATGAGCTTTATCTCACATGCTGCTGGCGTCCATTTCGTTAACTCCGGAAACTGACCCACTCTGATCATTTGCATTGTGCGGTGAGGGTCTCTGGATACTTATTGAGACATTCAATAACTTACAGGTGTGTAACCAAATTAAAATCAAGCGCAAATGAAAGTTTGTGGTCAATTTGATTGCGTTAAAACAATGACACTAAGGCCCCCCAAAACTTATTTACTTGTGATCGTATTTAATTGGAGAAACAAAATAAAATATTAACAAAAAATACGACAACAAAATCCTTTTTAATGGGTGAATAGGCGTTTCACCTTGGTTTGGAAATGGGCGTGGAAGAGTTTCGCTTGAATCAAAATCAGTATTGCGTTATTACCTTAAATAGACCCTGTTAAGAGGAAGAGATTTTCCATGTGTCTTGAAATTTCTAAAATTAGGCAAGGGCTCAAAAAACCACTGTTTATTAATAAAACTAGCAGACTTTTGTCCTTGGATCATATAAGTACGTCATGTGCTGAATGGAAGAAGGAAGGGAGCGACTACATGGATTTAGGGGACTTGACATGGGTTTCGTAATTTTTTTGCCTAAGGGGTTTGAAGCCCATTACATTCCAGTCATTTTGAAAAAACGTGACCTGCGTAGTACTGTGGGTGTTTTGGCGTGAAGGTGAGCGGGGTTGGTTTTACCAGGCCGTAGTTGCCTTTCGACTGCCAACTGAAGCCCAGGCCATGGTGCAAAGCCAAACCTCAGGGGTGGACACGACTATCTATTCGCCCAATGGGCATTCTATGCGATCGTTGTGCGTGTGTAAGCGTATTCATTGTGCTGATGTAAGCAGTGGGTAGAGGGTCGATGACATGCAGGAACTATCTCATTTTTGGGGGAAGAAACTTGGAAACTACGGCAACCTACCAGACATACCTGGACACATTTATAACAGCAGCCCACTTGTTGACAAGGCAGAGCTAGCTTACTAGTAAAAACAAATGTTTTATTCGTAATTTTAGATATCAGAGCATTTTACCTCTCAAAACTGGAGTCACTGGCGCTCAGAAGTGTGTGATAAAGAGGGGAGAACAGCAGTGTTGAATGCGTGTGACACAGGGATTCGAATTCCAAACCAGTCAAAGATTATGTTGCTTGTGCAAGGCATGGAGAAATTTCGAAGCAATTTCGATTGCAAAATTTGGAAAAAAAGTTTAAGTTAGCTTTACTTAAGTGTGAAGTTGGATTTTGGAACAGAGATCGAGATAAAACTGCCTAAAAGAGGTAAATCAAGCCAAGTTAACAGACAGTGATGAGAGGAGTCTGAGGGAAGTGAGGCATTGCCTATTGCGATGCTAGGAGTGGTTATTACAACCCGAAACAGTGCGCTGCCAGTTTGTGCGTTTACTCAATGGAAGTTTACCTGTCGCAGATCACTTTACAACTTACAAGGAATAGCCCTTTTTCACTCTGTAACAGATTGCTGATTAACATCCACGTGGAGGCCATCAATCAGTTCAAAAGGGATTTACTGCGAGACCCAAAGTGCAGTGAAAAGATGAAATAATAAGGAAAACGAATGAGGCTCTGGTGAAAGTGGCAACCAATACCTAATAACAGACATGTGAACAAGAGAGTGATTTCGGGATTTAATGAGCACAAGCAAGAAGTAACACAGAAACCAGAAATCAACAGTTTACTGGGTTTTGTTATGCTCCATATAACAAATACGGGACAACTTCATCTACGGATTTGCGCGTTTTGATAAGTGAATAGTCAGTTATCTGTTATCGCCAGATTCTTAATGACATCAAAACAACAAAATGTCTTAAATGGGAGCTAAATCACCTTTAATGAATTTTGAACCAAAAACGTGCATTTTGCCTAACCACAAGTCAGCGGGTTTTTAGATTCCAACATTGTGGCTTTGGCTCGCTAATCATTCGTAACCATCGGAGACTGTGGGAAATGTTTAATTAGTCAAAAAAATTAAGCTTACGCCAAACTTAGTTCAATTAAAGCATGCAATAAACAGGCAGTTTGGTTCGTAAGTACCACGAACCTCACCTGTCATGCTAATTAATTTTTGCATGCGAATGATAACGCATTGTTTCATGTTATGCATGCAGAACAGTAGTTAAAGCGTTCTTGAGTAAACGGCGGCAAAACAATGTAACATTTTGCGCATATGCAGATTAAATTGTTCTGATATTAGTGACTATCGAAAATGCTTAATGCATTTTGTGAATTAGAATCCAATTGCTAAAGCTCGAAAATACCTATTCAGTTGAACAAAGAAAAACTTTTACATTACAATAGTCGTCTGATTTAAGAGTTTCAGAATATAGCTCGACTGTTTAAATAACCTAGTGCAAATTCCGTCGGCATTAGTAAGGGTTCCAAGATATTCTCGTCTAATTAAGCTTTGGATGCGTTTTTATTTGATTATTTTCTTGCTTAGGTAGCTTTTAAAAACAGGCTGTGGATTCTTAATTATCTACAACATACTTTGATTTTTTCATAGTTTCGTTATGTCACGGCAGTGAACAGAGCATCCCTATAAGCCAAGCATCGATGTAGGTGGTTTGTGCTCAACCTCACCACACGTTGGTAAAGGGCAATTTTAGCCAATCATAATGCGGCATTGACTACACAGAGTACATAAGCGCACACAACCACCACAACCCTCATACACGCTAACAAATCTACTGAGTGAATGAAATGGGGAATCTCGCTGAAGCTGCTGGAAGACTCCGCAACAACCCAGAGCCTCAAAGGATTGTGATGCTTGGTCTTGATGCTGCAGGTAAATCGACCATTCTGTGCAGCATGAACTTGGGTGACAATGCCACAGTGAAACCTACAATTGGGTTCAATGTTGAAGTGGTCCATATACCCGGAACAAAGGTGTCTTTTGTCGTATGGGACCTTGGAGGGCAGGAATCTCTTCGCCTAATTTGGCGTCAATACCTTCAGGGTATCGCTGGACTCGTTTTTGTTGTTGACTCGGCTGACTTGAAGAGAATGCAGGAAGCTCGTACTTGCCTACAGGCCCTTATTCGAGACCCGAATCTGGCAGGTGTACCAATTGCTTTGGCAGCAAATAAACAGGACCTTTCGGAGGCTCTGCCTGTTAAGGATATTGAGGAGCTTCTCGGTTTACGAAGCCTCTCCACCATTCGTAATCCCTACATTATAAGACCAACAATTGCATTGAGTGGAGAAGGCGTCAGTGAGCTGTTTGTCGACTTTGAAAAGTTTGTCAGGGTACAGAATAAGCGCTGGGCAGCATATAACAGACGGAATTCCATCGGAAGTTCTGCTTCCGATGAATCAGGTCTTCGGGGAAGTTGGAAAGCCCGATTGCACTCACATGTTCCGCACATATTTCGACGTAGTGGTGAGACGTCCGTTTGAAATGAAAGATTTTTGTTGGCTTTTCATGAGAGCATTTACAAATATCTCCCTTTTGCATTTTTAATCATTGAAGACCCCAAAACTGTAACCCCTCCCAGACTTAAAACATTAACTTTTTCTCCACCTAATAAGATCCAATAAATGCAATTATCTTGACATACCTGACGTTGCATTTTTTAGGTTACAATAAATCTGTGCTTTTTTATCGGATTCATTAATTGTTTAGGTTATTGTTATCTTCGAACATAATTCAAATGCGTGCTTAAAATAATTCAGCTGAAGACCCAGGAGACCAAATTTACTTGGAGCATTATGTTCGAGCGTCTTGAGTAGCAGTATCTCTGGAGCACGTAGAACTTGGTACAGCTGTCGCTTAGGTGTACTCGTTAACGATTAAGAAGTAACGAGTTGAGTACAAGAGGCGGGTAAAACGCTGAACCATCAGAATCAGTTTGTGTTGTTTGACGCTGTCGAAATGAACCTACTTATAAATTTTGGGGCTGTAACATGTTGGCCACATAGAAGAAAAGAATTTGAATGCTAAAGAATAACTCTGAGTGTCACAAGGATTGGCGAGGCTCTATGGCGAAATCCCTCAAATTTGAATACGTGGCTGGCTGCAATGATTGCTGCTGATGCAATCTGTATCACAACTCGTCGATTTATTGGAGGGTAGAATGTATAGGGAAACTATACCAGAGAGATACGAAATTGACAGCTGTCTGATTTCGAGGCCAGTAACTTGGACCTTTTATTTAGTCTGCAACCCTCAGGTCAATTTGTGCTCAAGGAACTTCACAGGACCTTACACTTGACGTATGGTTTGGCAATCAAGTTACCTTGCTCGCTGAGATTACGTTGCATTAAACCCTAAATGTTTGTTTCAAGTAACATAGTTTATTTCAACAAATCACTCGACTAAATTAACTGAAAATGCTTATGGCAAATAGGGCGAATATATGGTTCCCACAAATACTTGGTAAGAGTCTGATAAACGCACACTAGTGCCAAATGAATGTATGGGCTGTGTTACAAGTCAGAGCGACTTGTTTGACAAAGGCCGAACTGGGGCGCCTCTATCGTTAAGTGCTAGTTAATCATACTAGTATGGTGTGATGTGTGTGCTATGTTAACGGCTAACGGGCCTAGATTTTTGTCATGAAATTACGGGGCTTTTAGAATCTCAGACAGCATCACAACTCCTGCCATTTGCAAAGTGGTTACCTTCTTATAAGTACCGATGAAAGCCGAACGCAATTCTTGGTGTGTGGAAATCTAACGGAGGTAAATAATTTTTTTACCAACATGGAAACTCAGTATCTCACAGAGACATGGGTTAAACTATGCGATTTTTTAACAAAGCTGCCTTGGTAAGGGGGAAGTGATAAGTTTTGACTGTGTGTTTAACCGGAGTAATGCGTCTATACGAATTTCAACATTGATGACCGCGGAAGTTTACAGAACATTTGCTGTCGTGGTAAAATGGCAAGAAAGCGGCTAATAAATTGTTTAAAATAATTGATATATGTGCAACTGTGGTATAGAGTATAATCCACAGTTTATAGCATTAACTCTTATTTTATTAACTATGTTATATAAGACAAGAAGAGGTAAAACCAAATCAAAACTGAATTTGATTTTGATGATGCAATTTTTGCTTCCCAAGTCCACTTTCTTAAAAGGTTGAGAAAACTAGAGGTGAAGCACCACCTTTTTCTGTCTTTTAATCAATCCAATTGCTAGATGAAAATTCTGATAATATTAAAGACGTGTTTTACCAGCATGAACAGGCCATTATTCTCCGAGAGGTATCTTCACTAGAACACCATGATTATTGCGTTACGCTTGGCAGCAACTTTAATTTTATTGTTCTGTCACTTCTTGGGAGTCTAGGAGGTGATGATACTCTCTACGCCATCATGAATTACGCAATATCAGCAGACTGATCGTCCTTGAAACACATGGTTGCTTGTCATCCCACACCAACGTGAATCGACGACCTTGCTTTAAGTGCTTTACACTTGAATAAACTGGTTGGTTTTTAAATTTACATCTAAGGATTCTTGTGGAACCAAGTTCTCACGCTAAAATAACCTAAGCAGTAGATGGTCTGTTTTAGCCACTTCAAGTACCTAATGTTTACGTATTGCCCCGTTTTTGTTTCATATACAGAATCGATGTTATCTCCTACGGGAACAGATACCCAACATCTTGTAGTGAGCGTTTATCAAGCAAGCATGAGTGAGGCGTATTCACGGTTGTCTATTACAGCAGACGTTCGAGATGCACTCACGCGCTGTGCTATGAATTACTTGGGTGGTCAAATGTAAATAAAGCGGTATATCTTCCATTACCGGTCTTACCTTTCCTCTCGGGCTGCTACGGACCGTCGGACTAGCAGGGTTATGCTGTTTCGCTAACGAAGTCGCCGCAAACCAGGAGGCTGTGTTTCTTACGCTGATTCTACCCAAGTGGAAATGCAATCATACAATGAATCAGTATTTCCAATCGCGTTTAGGTTGTCGAAAATTCAGCTGATCCAAGTGTGCTTATAAGTGAGAGGCGGTGCTCTTTCAAGAAGCCAGGGCCGAGTGATTAGCTATTAACCAGCAACAAGTTATTAACGAGTGTTATACTTTAAAACAGTTTGCTTTGTAATGTTTTTAGGTTGCATAATTAGAGATATTATTCATTGACTTCCGTCTTCGGAACCAGACGCCCACAACTCTAACGATAATTAAAACGCGGTATTTTTCTGCTGACACAAAAGTATTTTTTAAGTGAATTAAAATCGACGTATCATTGTAACGCATCATTACGTAATCCATTTAAATTTAAAATATTTAAAATTCTAGGCTTCATGATTAAATAGCAATATATATACTTCAATCATAGAATTGTCTACTACTCGGCCATACAGGAGGACTACTACCCTAGATTTGATTCACTCGAGGTTTCAATTAAGTCCGCTGAAAAATCTGCTTATCTATGGTTTAAATAGTCAAATTTTGAATGTTAAGAAAGCTTATTCATTTAAAATCAAAGCGACTTGTTACTTTGACGGTGTTTTTTAGCACGTAAACAGCAACCTCGGAATTTTAAATTTGACCACCTTCATCTTCATAAATAAAAATAGAGTAAAGGTCTACTGGAATCACTTCTCCTATCATACCTGCAGCTACGTATAAGGGCGCAGAAATTAGACCACGCCGGACTCAGGGATCCTCTGTCTCTTTATGTTCCAATGGAATTCGAGGAAACGATGAATAAACGAGTCCTAGTATGAAGAAGGCTGCTACAACAGAACAGGCCTTAGTGGCCAATCACAAGCCAGAGTCACGTGTCAGGCGCCGTCCGAGTCCACCACACTGGCTACGCCGATCATTATATACCACTTCTCAAATGTGGTAGAGAGATAGAGGTTTGGCTGAGGCATTTTGGTCCAATATGTCTGCACCCCTATACGTCGCTACAGAAGACATGAAACCAACCGGAGACAGATACGCATGAGAAACGATGTATAATAAACGGCGTAGCCAGCGTGGTGAATCCAGACGGTACCTGATGTGTGGCTCTGGTTTGTGATTGGTTACTAAAGACTGTACTGCTGTACCAGTCTTCTTCATAATAGGGCTCTTGTATGCTACACAAATTACACTTATCCCTGAATGAGCTTTACGTCACTTGAAAACGGGTTCCGAAGCTCGCACAGTGTAAAACAAATGGAGTGTCGCATTTGGTAAATGGAAAAGTTATGCTTCGACTTCAAAGCAAGTAAAGCATGGCTTGTTTTATTAAAATAAACCATTTGTTAATCACGTCATACAAGTTAACGAGTTCCATCTTTGTGGAAATTAAAAGGTTTCTCTTTAAAGGAAGCCGTGTCGTAAATTTGGATTTCTTTAATTCAAATTATTTTGCGGACCATAAAACAAATAAAATCTGGGGGCAGAAGGTCAGGAGAATAAGATGTGGGCTGAAGGATGTTCAAATTAAACTCTCTAAGGTTATGTGGTGCATGTTGAGCGACGTTTGACGCAGCGTTGCCACGGTGAAGGATGATGCCTTTTAACCCAACCAACGTGGGCGTCGTACCTAGAATTCAGCATTGCGTTGGGGGAGTTACTCATTGTACTAATCTGTAGTTGCTGTCACAAAACGTAAAAGCATCTTGCGATAAATTGCACCTCTTAAATCCCTCCACCAGACACATTACGACATGCTTATTTCAGTTATTCAGCCATAATACTTGGCTCTGCTCCTTTAATTCCACTCTTCCAGCTTCTTCTTATTATGTTGTTATTTACTAGCCATTTTTTTTCTATCTAGTTATAAGTTGGAACAGGCAAGGCTTGTTTGTTGGCGAGGCGAAAAGAAAGCGCCGTAGAAGCACGTAAGGTTATGTCAAAACCTGTACAACTCATGTATCTGATTTTTTAAGCGCATTCAAGTTGCTTTGTGTGACGACATGCTATCGAATTGTCAGTATTCAATTTGGTAATCCTCGGAAAAGCGTATGCTGGATTTTGGATGATGGAATACTTAATGTCAGAATGCCTTCCAAAGCAGTTTTTTGTTTAGAATTAAGCTACCACGTTGAAACAGTCTGGAAAATGTTTGGCCATTATAAGAGCACGAAAATGGTTCTGATAAATGTTTCAAATATTTTTTTTCTTTCAGTTCCTTGTTAAAGTTAACCCCAAACAAAGTTGCATGACAAAAATCCAACTTTCCATTGTCCATTTTTGTCCATTGAATCAATGTCTTTTAGGTTATGCTGACTCACGACGTATTTAATCATCGTTTATGTTCTAGGTAGCTATAAAAGTTAATTTAAACCAGAAGAATGTGCTCGGATTTGCCACTCTCAAAAATTTATCAATGGGATTTTTAATCACACAAGGTGTTTTGTGAGCAGCATATTTTAATTTCGCCCTTATATTTTGCTTTTTGGTCCATTAATTTATTTTTGTCATTAGTAAGGGTCGGAATTGATTGTATGTTGTATGCTAATCCATTTTTTATTTTTTCCGAGTTTGCAATCAGTTTTACACCTTATTCGATACTGTTTTGCATTGCTTTATCCAGCGATTAGTTTTAATCCAATTTGTTTCATTAAATCACAATAACAGGACTTAAAGCTATTCCTCATCCACTTTTAATATGATAAATACGGTTGCCTTAATTCTCCAGCTTAATTTCTAGGAATGTTTAGAAATAATTTTGCATATTGTCTGAAACGTTTCTCATAAAGTACCTTTATATAATTTTCGAAATCAGCTTATAACACAAATATTAAGGTAATCGATAAAAAGATGTGGGTCTAAGGAAGAAAGCAGTGGCATCTCAATCCGATATTTACGAAGTGTAAAAATTATTTGCATTTTCTGATGATTTTTGGGAAATAGGTGTAACGTACTAATACTCTCCACCCGTTCAGCATAATAGGAATGTAACCACACCCCGGCAAATTGTTATTGCTACAAATAGAGCTGAGACAGATGTTTCAACCTTTAGGTATGAGGTCATGATAATTTAATGCAATCGAAAGCTGATTAACTATGTTCATTGAAAAAAGGTAATGTATTCTTCAGCCTAAATATTAGGCACACTAAAATTCGTTTAAAATGTAACAAGAAAGGCGAAAGTTGTGTATACTTCCTTGACAGTATGAGAAAACCTTAACGGAATTTGTGGATATTTTTTGTTATCTTATATTTCGTTGCATTCATGCTATTTTCCTCACTAAAAATGTTGACTGGAAAGCCTATTAGAAAAAAAAATGATGTAAAAGAGTACAACTAACGTAAATTAGATGATAGTATATGAAATACCCATTACTATGCAGTTGTATGATATCGTAAGGCCCAATATTCAAATATCTCAATTCCTCACAATTTGTTATTCAAGTAGATATGGTCACTGGACAATTGGAATGCATTTATGAAATCGGCACGACCCTTTTATATCAAGTGATCTTTACTGGTGGCCCTTTAGTTTTAGAGGAAAAGTAAGAGCATTCTTAAAATCTCTTTTATCTTATAAAATGCAGACTAAAAAATCAGCACACAATGATTAACATGATTCTTTTGTTATAACTAAGTGGCTAGTTTCACTATTTCCAGGATAGAGCGATGTCGCACAACGATGCGTACGTTAATGCCATTGAGCGGGCAAAGCAGGTATGGTGTCGCTATAAGTGTATTTCCAGGTGGTTTCGAAGTTTTCCACACCAGATGATGGCCACTCCAACGGTAGTTATGTTGGAGGTAAAAGACCCTCGGATAGCATGAATCAGTATCCAAATGCTGAGAAACGACCCTATACCGACAAGGCGGCCGCAGCTGCTCATGAGGCCGCTGCAAGACTCAGCCAAAAGCTGGCTGGTGGTGGGGCCCAGCCTCCCCAACAGAATTCTGCCCGTCAGATTACCTCTGAGACATCCATTCCAGATCGTTTCGTTGGTTTAGGTAATCCGTTTTGCGCTATTATTCCCGACCTTAGTAATTGGTAAAAAGGGTGAGCAAATCACGGCCCTTCAAAATGATTCTAACTGCAAGGTTCAGATATCTCAAGGTTCGCTTTCTTCATTTTCTGTTCAAATTCATTAGAGGGAGGCAGGCCTGAGAGAGTTGTCACCCTTACTGGCACACCGCAACAAGTGGCGTATGTTGTTGGTTTGATATTATGATTTGATAGACATGCGAAGCAATTGCTTAATGAGATAATTGAGAGAGCTGAGAAGTCCGGAATGGGTGGTCCTTCTTCGCCCCCATCTTATCAGCAAATGCCCAACCCAACTGTTTATGCTCCCAGCGGGCCTGTAACGACAGTCGAAGTTATGATTCCTGGTTCCAAAGCTGGTTTGGTCATTGGAAAAAACGGTGAAACGATTAAGCAGCTACAGGAAGAGAACGGTGTTAAAATGGTTCTCATCCAGCAGAGCAGTGCGCCAACGGTTGAAGACAAGCCGCTTCGAATAACCGGGGATCCCGCCCGCATAGAAAAAGTCAAAGCTCTAGTTTACGAAATTATTACGGTAAATTAAATGTAGTCTGAATATTTCATTATTTAGCGTGGTCGGATGGGAAATTTCTCCGAAAACGCTGAGGTGACGCGCTATGCTGTTCCCGCTGAGAAGGCTGGCTTGGTAATAGGCAAAGGTGGTGAATCTATAAAGGAAATATGCAGAGTCAGTGGGGCCCATGTCGAAATCTCAAAGGAGCCGCCACCGGATCCGTCAATTAAGATTTTCAACATCCGTGGCAACCGTAACGAAATCGAGCAAGCCATAAGGTGATTATGTTCTTTGTAAACTGATAAAATTCCGGGCTGTTAAACTAACATAAGTTTCTTAACACTTTCTAACTATGCAGATAGATTGTTTCTAAACAATTGCGTTCGTTATCTGATACGATTATTATGTATTTCGTTTTGGTATTACCAATGGAATTCCGTGTCCTGTGATTTTGGTCGTCGCGCGCTTTTTAGCCAATTTTTTTTGTATGCATACCTCGGTCTTGTGGCGGTTGTGCTAATTTATGTAATATGTAGGGGAGCAGACAACTATTGGTAAGTTCTAAATTGAATTTTCGGCCCGGATGAGGTTAGATCATGGCTTATTTTTATGTTTGTTTCTTAACCGGCGCCATTTTCGTTTTCATTGTTCTTCATATATTTGGTGAATATCTCGCTACCTATAAACAAATACCATGCCTTCGCATAACTGAATATGTGTCCGGGCTCGATCCCTTCCACCTGCATCCACTTCAACAATAAAGAATGATCTCTGAGCGCGCCGGTATTCCAATCTCAAGGCCAACTTCAGGACCGACCACCAACGTCTGGGGACAGCTCGGTTATAGTCAGCCAGGTAAGATGTCCCTCTTTTCATAGGTTCACTGCCGCCTTAGGTGGTTGAGCCTTCGTCCACCACCATTAGGTCAGGCAGGGCACCTCACCGAGCAGAAAATTCGCGCAGGCAATCAACTCTTTAACCAGTGGACGAGACACTACCTCCATAAACCTGTTGCAGGTTTGATTTACGCTTATTCACTCCGCATAAATATGTATTGTACACATATCTTACGCTGATGTCCATATTTTTGATAATATGCATTGCATTGATCGTCTGCATAATCTTGTTGTTCCCTTATAAATTGCCCATGCATTGTCATTATGAAATTTCCGGGTTCGAATTTTGTGAAAACCTACAAACGGGGTGTAAGTGATAGGCGGTTTGGTGGGGTTTCTGTATCAGCCTTCATTTTTATGGCTGGATTTTTTTATAGATTCATGGACCTCAAACATGCCTGCACCCACCCTCAACCCCTATACAGGTCAACCCGACTACAGTGCTGCGTGGATTGAATATTACCGCCGTCAGGGTATGCATGAATACGCTGACATGATTCAGCGACAGGCCCAACAGCAACATCAGCAGTACCAACAGAGCGCCGTTGGATCCTCTCAGGCCGGCGGGGCACAGAGTGGAGTAGCTCCTGTGTCTCATCCTAATCAATCTTGTCAGCAAACTGGAGGACATCCAAATGCTCAACAAGGGGGACAACAGCCAGTCGGTTACGGCGGTGACGCCGGCCAGCAGGTAGATTTTGGTCGTTAATTTTTTTGACTGCAAAATGTCTGCTTATCTACAGTGGGACACCACAATCCCACAAATGGGATCTTGTTAGTAGGATCCGTTTGTTAGAATCCCCAATTCCTGAATTTTGTGGATTACCATCATTTGTAGCTTAGTGTATTTCACAAACCTGAGGATCGTTGACCTAGACGCGTTCGCTGTTTCCAACAGTCATGTGAACAACTGCGTTATCTGTATATTATGTAGTAAATTTTATTGCAGATGTTATTTTAGATTGGCTTTAGTCTTTCGTCGCTGCTCCAATGTGACTGTCTTGTTCCGTCATATCGATGAATCCCCGCTACTTAAGACTAGAAAATTTGCGTTTTAACTCTCAGGTGCTATTGAGGCTTTAAAATATCTTTAACGTTAGGGCGATTACAATCAATGGCAACAGTGGCAGCAATGGCAAGCTTGGCAGGCGTGGCAGCAACATGGCGGTGGTCCCGGGGGCATCCCTCCTCCACAACCTCCTCAAGGTGGTCCTGCACCCTCCGGTGGCCCCCAGCCACCTCACCACTGATCCCGGCGGTAGTTTATAATGGTGCTTTTATCGTGTACCTCACATTTATCGGTTTGTGCTGTACTCTTTTCCCAATATAAATGTGAATAAACTAAATGGCTTTTTACCCTTTCGACGTATGTGACTGAGGAACTGAGTGTGGCGGAGGAGTTGATATGTGCCTCATCGCAAATTGTAAGTAATGGCACGTGGGTTCAGAAGTTAGTGTCTTGTTTTCATCAACGTTGGCAAGTTGAAATTCATTATTGTTCCTACTACGCCTAACATTAATAAACGGTAAAATTCCCGAAAGTGTGAGCTATGTCCTGACAGGAAAATAATAGCAGGGTGAACTGACGCATTGGCTCGTATTATTCGCCAATGTCAACACATCATCCGCACCAAATGGTTGTGTAGGCTTTCATAATTGAACAATATTTCAGCCCTGCCGTTGTATCTATGCGTTTATTGATATAAAAGTCCTGATTAAACCACTAGACAAAAGTGAGGACAAGTGCGAATATTCGCTATGAAGTACCTTAAACTACAGGTTAATCGGATTAGCCTTGTGGAGATTTTGAGTCTGTGTATTTTATTGCCGAGGATGGCTATAGTCACGTCATTTTACTGCATAAGGACAAATGTATTTACTCGCAGATTGATTCAATTAAATCCTTTAATTTACTATTTGGATTAATCGAATTCCTCTCCGACGAAGTGTTGCTATTTTGGTGCCATCAAAAGTTGCCAACTCAGATGAAATTGATTCTCTGGTGCAATCTGAGGCTGCTATTTATCATGCATGTGCATGTTTTCTGTGAATTCAGCTTTGAGAATGACCCTGACAGTTATTCTTGAAGGCCCTAGCTTTGGGTATTATTCAGAATACAACCTATTTCAATTGACAATTAAAATTACTGAAAGTTGTGGATTAATTTCGACCCGTACTGTATGTGTAAGCAAAGAAGGTGAATGTTGGAACCTTAATGGTCAATCAATTGCTTGTATCCGTTGATGTGACCTAATAATGTAGAAATTCCAGTAAGTCCCGAGCTCTTGTGCCCTTCGAGCTTTCTAATGTCAACCATCTTCGATGTGTTTACTCGGTACATGAGTTCGTTCTTCGAAATTTGCGCACTTCGTACATATTTTGGGAAAATAAGTAATTCAGTCTATTTAGACCATGTCGGTCTGCTGGCCGTTTGACTGTTCAGCACAGGTCAACGAAGTCAAGGCAACCTTCTTTACAGCTTAGCGTTGTCTCAAAAGACATAACTAAATGCCATTGAACCAATTACCATATTTGCTTGAGAGCCAAATCAACATTTGCACTGAGATTGCGGAAGTTTTGTGTGACCATCATCAATTTCAATAACACCCTGATTGACCCAATGAATGCCACGTCAGACTCGTCGGTTTTGTCGTTTTAACTTCCTGAAATCGTCATGAGAGCCCGATATGCCAATTTTATCCTCCGTATCCAATCAGCCGTCTAGTGAGGGATCAATATTTTTTTGTAATTTACGTCGACAATGAAATAAGCAGAAGCATAAGCGCAAATTGCGTATAGTGGGTATCCTGCAACAAGTTCATGAAAGACTCAAGCTTGCAGGAAATATGGTGAGTTTACGAAGGGCTGGGCTTTTCTGTATTGGCTGTTGTTTGTTGAGATTTGGGCAGTAACACTGGATTGCGTTGGACACGGATGAAATAACAGCTGTTCACGGTCAGTTCTCTGCTGTTCCGTTTCCTCCTTAATCAGTTTAGGATTGGCAAAGCTTTGTTTGTGGTCATCCGACGGCTTCAAAAAGCAGGAACTATCAAGCGTGTTGCTCATATTGTAAGCAAATACATTTAAATTATGATTATACCTGACAGCTCGTTGCGTTTTTTTCTGTGTTAGGGTTCCGTCATTGAACATGTTGTAATATTCTAAATGTGCATAGGATTAACTGGTATTCTCTTAACCTTTATAAATGGTTTTGTAAGTATATAGAATTAGACGCCTCAATTTTCAGCCTAAAATGCAGCAGCTACGGAAGATTTTTTAAAAGTTTGGTCATCTCTCTTTAGTGAGATTCCGCAGGGCGCGTTACGTAGTGCACCTACCTGTCGCACAAAGGAACCACACGCCTCCCGTTTGTCAAATTTCTTTTTTCCACGTTTCCTTTTTTGTATTGCATCCTTCTTCATGGAAAGAGGTCGGTTTACCTAAAAGGCATGAGAATCTACTCGGTGTCGGTCATGCCACATGAGTCACCGTTCAACCGCCAATGCTGTATTGCGCCTGATCTATTTTCATATTTGCATGACTATGAACAGGGAGCTTGACGCAATACGGTTGGCTAACTCTTTAACGATTTATGGACTTCTCTTTGGTTAAAGTAATAGACAAGTGTTTGTTGCGGTATTGTTTCCATTTGATTTTACACCGATAATAGAAGTGGCAGAACAATCAGTCCAAATCTCTCAGAGTAGAATCGGAGGCCTTTGTTTCTACTAAGTCAGTTAACGGTCATAATTTCTAGGTTTTGTAATTGCATCTAAGTTGACGAAACCCCAATCTTAGTAGCTTACCGCGCAGTGCAAAAATGCATCAGTTTCAAATTTTTGGCACTGATCTTGATGCACTAAAGCAAATAATTCAGACCAAACAATCAGTCAAAATATGTGACAGCTTTTGGGTAGGTTTATTCTCCAACGCTCGAACTAAGACCAGATTAGGTTCTCAAAATTGATGCCACAAATAGAAATTTGCGTCAGCAAAGCTAATTTACGCTTGGTCAGACGTTCCCAGATAGTAGTAAAGGTCGGTTGTAGAAAGCTAGCTATAGAACTTCTACATATTTACCTGCGCCGAATGGATTCAGAGGTTAATTGTGATTTAGCACAATTGGAACTACAATTAGGGCAATGTAGATAACGCCTTGAAATATGCGCAATCATACAGTACTTGAATTATATAAAAGAGAGTTTCTTGAAAACATGCATCTACTAAGTCTCTCCATAAATTTCAACGATGAATTCGATAAGTGGCTCACCGATTTTATCTTTTCTAGTGATAAGTCAAAAAATAAATAGGATATTATTATTTTGGTTACCTTTGGCATCCAAGATAACTTGGAATTGGTGGGTTTTAGCGGTGACGGAATATGACCTAACCTGGGTTTGACCCACCTTCGTAAACATCATTTGCATTAAAATGTAGATAGGAATATTATGGAATTTAAGTCGTCACAATCGATGGGACAGGGAAAAAATAGCACATATCTAAAAATGAGCAAATTCCACCTGCAGAAATATTTGTGCACAAATTGATCCGTTTCAGCTATCAGTCGTAACAGCTATGGAATGAGTGATCCACCCTTGAGGTAGTCCAAGACGAGCATCTCTTACGGAACAGTTTACTTTTCTACCAGAGTGTGTAATCCCAAAGCGTAATCAACGCGCATGAGTCCGAAATTTAACTCTTAATCATGCAACCTATGTCCAACGACGTGCGATCTCTTAGTCTCTCGATGGGGTTTTGTTGGCCAACGAGCCTCACCCTGTGCAGCTTAAAGTAGAGTCCACAAGCGTTACACACGGGTTCCCCCTCGGCGTTTCTTCGCCAAAGTGTAGTGGCGGAGGTCTGGCAGTTGGTGCAGATTGTGATGCGCTCCGGCTTCCGACAGGAATAGGCGAGCATTCCAAGCTGCGAAACAAAACACTTTTTCCCATTTTCTTTTTTTAAAAAAACGCCTTCTCCACTGCCTTCTCAACCCAAAGAAATTATGAAAGAAAAAGTTAATTGCCTTATCGAGTATTAATTTAAAGTTAGTGTTCTGACTTTAAAAAGCCCATCTTTAACAAAATTTTACTTTACGGCTTGCCGCAGAGTAAAGTGAATAAATCAGAATGCTGCTGGGATTATAATGAGTGATACTTGCTCCGCGGATGCAAACTTAGAATTCATGTGCACTTCAGGAAACGTCAAATATTATGTAAACACTGTTTCAAGTGAAGTATGTCTTTTTCGCCAAAATTCGTGGTTTACAGTGAACTATTTTACCAAGTCAGCTAATATGCTAGCTCTAGACTTTGCTTACTTGACCCTGAAGTGGAAATTTGTATGCTAATTTCCTCTCTTTGTCACATTCATAAAAACAGTCTAGTTGGAAAACCGCTACCAAAAATACCAACAGATGGTGGTCATTTTTTCGTGCCTAACAGATGTCGGGTATATGCTTTTGTGGCTGGTCCCAGACTGTATTTTAAGAACTGGCTGCACACACCGGCAATGTTCTAACAAAATGCAAGGTTATCAAGTACTGTTCAAAATTCCAATTTTTCCACATCTAGGGATTGAATTTCAGTATGGAATGGGATACTGACCCTTCTCTAACTACGAATGACCTATTGTTACCCCGTGGTTCATGAAAACTTAGGTCACTTAGCACAAAATTCCAGAGTTCAGAAATCTGATAAAGAGGTCCTTTTGAAAGAAGCCAAGGATCTTAGCTTCACGTCTTTACCTTTATTGCTCGTAGTTAACTTCAGAATTAAGTACCCACCCTTGGTAGTTAAGGTCAACTCGTCTACCAAGTTGATTCTAACTCCACAATGCCGAGCAATAATTCATACTAATCTGTTCGTCTGAATTACAGTTTTTCGTATCAATTAGTTGTTTCGTTTATATTTGTGGTATTCTTACTAATACAAAGCCTGTTTAAATTGATTATTTGTTTACTAAAGAAAAGAACTCCTACAAACCTGCAACCTCTCTTCGGAAAGAGTCCATCTCAAGGCTTTTCTCATCAACTGGTCGAATACTTATGACGTTGAATTACTTATCAAGTATTCACAGTTGTGCTAGGTTTGATGAGAATAAAGGGTTGCTTAAATCGGCAACCATGGCGTAATCAGAAATTTACTATCGTCGAATAGGACAATTCATTTGAAAATTAGGTTACTTAGCACTGACGCCGATTGACTCGATACAAATGTTCCGGCTACACAATTTACCAAGTGCGCAATGGGGAATAAGAGTTGACATTTATAATTAGCCAAAGGAAGTAACTGCTTAATATTGTAAATTAAGGAATGAACAGGGTGTTGTGAAATTCCAACTTAGGTTATAAAAAGGTAGGTTAATTAGTGTAAAATGAATATTCAGATGCTCCAATAACCACATCTCTACCGGAAACCTATTGGTGCGGCAATCACGATTGTTTCAGTAAGCAAGTTGCCAAATCGTAGGAACGTTATCAAGCCATATGAAAAAAATGTCATTATTTTAACATTTTAGCAGATAATAATAAAATCTTACTAATTCCCAAGCGCTGAGATCTTGTTTTAGTGACTTGTTGGAAACCGGCCAAAGCAGAAATGGCCTAATATGATTTTGAGTGTCCGAAGAGAGTTTTGCCGTCCTCTCTGGAGTCCAACAGTCGACCTTTTCAATATCTTCGGCCTGTTCCACCTGTTCTGTGCCCGTTGTCATCGACCCATTTGGAAGTACTATATTGTCATCCAAAAAAATACCCACTTTACTTCAGATGACGGGGAAACCCAAGCAGCACTTGTGGTCAGGTTCAATGCTCTTAGGATAGCAGATTCATTTACATCTACAGACCTCATGGTTGTATAAAAGTCTGAACACAATTTTAACTGTAACCAATAAAATAGGCTAGCTATTTGGCAGAAATCATCGGTTACAATGATTTAGGTCTTGTTTGAAGGTTCCCGTACATCACACCTACATGATTTAATGGCAGAGAAGTAATATGAAGTCACGAATGTAGAAGCAGCAAACAATGCAAAGTTCAACGACTTAGCAATCCGCTGAGTGTGCTTTCGTTATTTTAGTATTCAATCAGTGGCATCCACTTTGCCACTAAATTGACTTGCCCTTCCATTTTAGAATGGTGCCGCTTAGTAGGTATAAATTCATTAATTTTGGCAACTTGTCCATTTGGCATTGTGGCATTTCCGTAACACTGGTACTCTTGTCGAATATTAGTGTTCACTTGGTTTTGCAGTGCAATTTGGGATTCAGGCAACAATAAAAGCGTGGGTTCTTTAGCAAGGTAAGACATAGCAGCATTTAGCTTGAATACCAACTTGCCTGATTCACTTTCTCCACCAGCGTTATACCCACAACATTGGACGTTTGGTGTATGTGTAGTCTGGGAAGCTATTTGCTGGTGTTGTTGAAATTGACAAGTCTCACAAAGGGCGACATGTGGACCTTCATGAGACACCCAAAACCGGTTGCCAGCGGCGGTTGATCCACATCCAGCACATTCGGCCGAGAAGGCAACAACTGGGGGTCGGGGCCCGCAGGTAACTTAGACGAATCACATGTTAACTCGAATTTAGTATCAATACTTTCTCATTACCTGTAGTACAGGTGTCATTATCAAAGATATTTGGAGGGATTTATGAATTCTGCCGCATTTTTAATGACAAATATATTGAAATGGTGGAGTATAAAGAATAAGGATATAGTCTTGGTTCTCGATATTCGATTTTAGGCCAATGACTAGCTAAGTATGTTTAGAAGAGGTAATTTGATGCAATCTTACATTGAACCTACTTTGTAAAGTCTTTTCGTTGTCAAAGCAGGCCGATTGTTAAACAGATCAAAAATGTGGGCTGTACAAATATAAACACACTTAATCATTCCTTTCCTGTGAATATGGCGGGGCTTAGGTAAGTAGGGCTTTTTCCTAACCGGAACTGAGTGTTTTGCCTCATTGACAGAGGGCATTAATAAGAATATGCCAGCCAAAGTTAGACCTACAAGATAGTCTACCCTTTCGCTTGCGCATGAACAATTCTATTTTTCTGCAGTGTGTGAACGTGTGCGTATAGAGAATTTGACTCTGATAGCAGATAATCAAGTCATTTTCCATATTTTTTAAAGCTTTGAATAAACCTGTCAAATCAGGTGGCCAACTAGGAGCCATTATGGTTTCCCGTAACCCATTTTCTGGCACCGCTGAGTTGTTTTTCACATAACTCATTTTCTATTTTATACACAAATAAACTTTTCAACAGTTTGATAGAATTTTAGCAATTATCATCCTCAGATGGCATTCTTATGACTAATCAAACGTTCCCAGTTTCCTCATTGGGATGGCTACATGCAGAATCAACGTTGTCTCCCGGTTGTGATAATTCCTACTCCGCCCTTTCGTACCCTCCTCTAGGCGAAACTGTCTGTCTATCCCTTCTTTTCGTAATGCTCTGCGGTCCTGCAGTTGGAAGCTAAAAAGTTTTCTCTACCAATGGCATATTATGTAACATGCGATTCCGTGATTCAAATGTTTACAGTACATATTCACCTACCGAATGCTTCTGTGACATTTGACGTGAAATACCTCGGCAATAGTTTTGTGCCACTTTCACGTCCCTTCCAAACGTCTGTATCATGATATCGTTGGACAAATTAAACCGATGGTCTAAAACGCCACAACTTCGTCAACTTAAAAAATCACTAGCGGGCATCTTAGCTGCTTCCCCAATCTGACGATCACTTTCGGAGCGTAACGATCAATTTTGAATCTCGTTTTGTGCAGACTTTTATGTTGGTGGTGGCACATCCCCGTGAGAACCACCCGATGTTCTTCGGATGTCTGACAGCTGTGCTAACTTCACACACTCATATTGTTTGCCCCCAAGTAGCGTTCTCTTTCTCTTAGCCTGGCCCGTGTATTTGCTCAAAAAGATAAGCGAAGGCACTTAGGCAAGGGGTGGTTTAGGCAAACGCTAGCTGAGCTGAGTAAACATTAGCTAAGGAATATGAGAAAGATAATTTATCAAACTGAGACACGAGATACAAAGATACCGGCAACGTCATTGTAAGAGAATTAGGCTAGCTGACGCAGAAGGCAACTTTCATTGGTATCAGCTCGCCGGTTTTGTCGAATATAATCTAAACGGTACTGATACCCCTTGTTTAAGATCACTACGTTTAGTTAATTTAAAAGAGTAAAATAAAATGTTTTGTTCTAAACACAAATAACTGGTTTGATAGAGGATAAGATTTACAATGAAACCATTTGTAAATAGACGTGAATAGTAAATATGTGGTTACGGTTTCTGATATTGGAAAAATCAAAGTCGAAAAAGAAATATGTGAATCACTACGATGAACCTCAAGAATTTTACAGTGAAAACAAGGGACCTGCTATCTAAATACATTCAAACTCAAAGGAGAATTAAGGAAGAAATCCTCTGCGAGCATTTTTAGTTAAAGAATCTAAAATACCACCTCTAGTCACCTCCCTGAAAAATATTGTACAAAAGGTTTGCTGAATCGAATAGTGAAGCACAAAACATTCCGTAGACACTCAAATGGAACGACGTTAATTTTGATAAGATACTCTATGGGTGACTGAAAGCGAAGGTTACCTGTTTCAAACATTGCCACTTATGGCCGAAGCTTTCCCCCAAATATTGAGGATAAATATGATAACGATCCGCGGAATCGTAGAATCAAAGATTTCACGACTACTATCAGTCTCGCAGCTAAACAAAATGGATTGATTTTAAAAAAACTAAACTTATGAAGCAACAGACTTCTATTTGTCTTTGCAGGGATTTTTGTCATGGCTGTCTTCGGCCATTTGTTAGGCTGAGGGCCGAGCTAGGTGAATATCCATACTTTGCTTTTATTGGTTCCTCAATATATTTCATGCAATG